CGCCCGAGGGCCTCGTGTTTCTCCAGACTTTGTTTGTGCATTCCCCAGCCTTGCCCTGGGCTGTGGGGGGGGAAAAGATGAGCTGCCCCGCTGGCCCCAGAGTTGTTCCCTCGAAGGGGGGGGCGATTTTTGGGGGCGTTCAGCTCCAAATCCCCACTTGCCCTCAAGCTTTGTCCCCGTTCTTGGGGCGGCAGATGCTCTGCTGACCTTGGAAAAACGGGAAACCCCCGGGGGAAAAGCTGGAATTTGCCAAGCTGAGAGCCAAGGGGCTGGGTGGGACAGGGATTTCGTGGCATGGGGTGGGTTAGGGAGGGCTCTGCCAGCCCCCTCTCCTCGAATCGTTTTCCTAAAAGCATTTATTCATGTCAGGTGAAGAAGGGAGAGCAAAGCTTCTTTGTTGGCATCTCCCCTTTTCTAAAATAGCTTCTAATTACATGCTGCTGGCTCTGCAGCCCGAGGACATATTTCATATTTATATTTATATGGATATTTATATTTATATTTATACCCTCCAGTCATGGCTTGGGGGGCCCCTCAGTGTCACCCCCTTTGGTGCAGGGGTTGTGCCCCATCAGCTCAATCTTGCAGAGGGGTTTTGGTGCTCCAAGAGGGGCTCTTTGTGGCAGGAGGCTCCTCATCCTGAACTCAGCATTGACTTTTGGTGGAAGATTTCGGGATTCGTGGAATCCCAGAACGCTTTGGGGTCGGGAGGGAGCTCAGAGCTCATCTCGTCCCACCCCTCTGCCACGAGCAGGGACACCTCCCACCATCCCAGCTTGCTCCAAGCCTGTCCAACCTGGCCTTGGACACTTCCAGGGATGGGGGCATCCTATGGGAAATCTCTTCCAGGGCCTCCCCACCCTCACAGGTGGGAATTTCTTTCCCAATATCCCATCCCTCTGGCAGTGGGAAGCTATTTCCCCTTGTCCTGTCCCTCCAGGCCCTCGTCCAAAGTCCCTCCCAGCTCTCCTGGAGCTGCACATTTAAAACCCAAGGCACCTTGAGAAACCTTCCCAAAATCCAGGGAGGAGCTTTGGAGCTTCCTCCAAGGCAAAGTGACACCTCCAGATGTGATGGAGAAACTGCCCTTCTGATGGAGCAGCTCAGCTCTGCCTGGAAAGTGCCATTTTAACGCCTCTCACCCTGCAGGAAGGCCCTTCTGGGAGCTCTGGCTTTGACCCTTTGTCCTTGGGAGGTTTTTTTTGGGCTTTGACCCTTCGACCCTTTGTCCTTGGAAGGTTTACAGCCCCGACTGCAGCGGTGGCTTCACATGGCACGGTGTGGTTTTGGTGGAAGAGAGGCTTGTTGTTTTAAGGGTTGTTTCTCTTGTAGCCTGCAGTGAGATTTCTTTTTTCTCCTGCACACACAAACATGTGCTCCAGCCAGTTCTTCCAGCAAAGCCAGGCCTAAAGGTGGGTAAATGTTTAATGACACGGCCCCCACTCTGCTTTCTTTTGTTGCTGGGGGGGGTTGATTTTAATCTGCAATCCTTCCACCCTTCAAAATACCTGTCCAGATCCAGAAAGCTGCTTTACCCACCAGGTTGGAGAGGGCTTGGAGCAGCCTGGTCCAGTGGAAGGTGTTCCTGCTGGAACAAGATGGGCTTTAAGGTCCCTTCCCACCCAAACCGTTCTAGGATTAAGCTGTGGTTGAGCCCCTTGGCCGTGTCCTTGTATGAAGTTCTCCTTCTCCACGCTGTCCAGCAGTGCCTGAACCTCTTACTCAAAGCTGTAGATGCCCCCAAACCAGGTGCAGCCTCTCCAGCTTCACAGAATCCCAGAACATTCCCAGTTGGACGGGAACCGCCAAGTCCAGCTTTTACGGGAATGACCCGTACAGGGCTTGACCCCACACCTTTGGTGTTGTTAGAACCGGGTTCTAACCAGCTGAGCTCATCTCAGGGCCTCCTCTTGGCCTCCTCCAGCTGAGCAGAGCCAGGTCAGAGACACCTCCAGCCCCCCCCCAAGTTTTGCCGAGCGGGAGCCGCGTCCGTCCCCCCGTCTCCTCCCCGGGTTTGGAGCAGCCTCTTGGAGAGCCAAACCGGTGCTAACTCGGCGTTTTTCTTGCCCCCCCCCTTCCCCAGGAGGAGCATGAAGAGGAAGGCCATGTTCACCTGCCCCTTCAACGGGGACTGCAGGATCACCAAGGACAACCGGCGGCACTGCCAGGCGTGCCGGCTCAAGCGCTGCGTGGACATCGGCATGATGAAGGAGTGTGAGTAACGACCCCCCAGCTCCAGCTGGCCATGCCCACTGTCCCCTCTCTGTCCCCAGAGGTGGGAAGGGCAGCCCAAAACCCGAACAAACCTCCCAGGATTTCAGGGGGACGCAGAGGGCGGGGGGTGTGGCGGGTTAATGGTCGAGAGGGGCTCGTGGAATGACCTGGAGCGATCCGGGAGTTGCTTTTCCCCCGGGGCCAGGCGGCTTCTCCTGGCTCTCCAGGGGCATCAGCTTTTTGTGGGGGTTTGTGGTCGATGCCTGGGCACGCTGGTTGATCCTGTCAGAGACAGGAGGGCCGAGGGCCTCTCTCCTCCCGCCAAAGGGTAAATCTGCTGGTTCAACTTCAGGCCTGAGTTCGGATTTGATTGTGGGGTTTACACAGAAAAAAAAACACCTCCTGACACCTAAAGTTTCTAGCCACGCCTAAAACATATCGATGCTTTTATCAGTTGCTACAGAAAGACATTTTTCTGAGTGTTCTGGGTTTGGGCAGAACGTCTCCTGCATCCCCTCTGCTTGGAGCAGAAAGTGGATATTTTTGAGAATACAGATATTTGTGGTTATTTTCCCACCAGTTCTCTTTCAGAGGGGCAGTCCTGCAAATTGCAGTGGACGTGTGTTTTCCCTTACCCTTTGTGTCCTGTGTCTGGGCAGAGAAATTCATGTCCTTTGGTTCTAAATCACATAGATCTCTTTCACTAATTAGCGTTCTATCTGTTGGTTATTGATTTCTCACCGTTTATACTAATTAGTCCATGCTTTTAGTCATTTTAGTACCTTTTTTCCACCGGTAGGGACTTTCCAACACAAAGACCAAGCCTTTCCTGGTCTCTTCTTTGTCTTCTGCTCTCTGCAAGATGTCCTTGTGGTCCGTAAATTCTGCATTCCAGATGTCCAGCTTCAACAATCCGTCTTTCCCTCCCTGGCTTTGTACGTTGAAGCAAATCAGAGTTAGTTTATCAAAACCTCGATTTAAATTAAGACTTTAATTGCCTTCAATTAAAACTCAATTCTCCCAAGCTGTGTTCCCACAAAAGCACCTTATTGCAAACTTTGCCAAACGCTGGCTGGGAGCAATTTCAGGACGGCGCGCTATTTGTAATTAATATATATCGGCTATGATTAATTAAAACAATGAATTAGAAGTTAATTAAAGCCATTAACTACAATTATTTAAAAGTTCCATCCTTTCCAACAGAGCTGGGTTGTGTTTCCCTCCTCTGTGGCTCCTTTTTTTT